ATATTTATAGCCATGCACTACACATATGTATATTCCAAATATACAAATTAAATTTTCTAATGGAAATGCATATACTTATTGATATATATATTTCTGATCTTGCTACGACCTCTATACACTTGCATAGAAAAATATATAAAACTTGTCATGAGCTGTTGCTCTTAATGAGAATAATTAAACGTATATTGTATATATCAATATATATTTTAAATGAATCCATTTTTTTTTCTTTTGCAGCGGAACAACAGATACCTCTTTGTCGCTTAACGCACTCTCCTTGACGTCTGCTCTACCGCCGACAGATCCCGATCATCCACATCACAACATGAACAAATTGTGTCGTCAAGTGTCAATTGAATCACCCGGACCGGGTGTTAAGAATTGTGTTTTTAATTTCTTTGTGCCCATCGAGGATACGCCAGCACATGGCGCCCGCATCAAGATCGTCTGCGCCGGCGCCTGCTATCGTCGCCGCGATCGTGCCAACTCGATAACCAGCGTATCGTCTGTCTCGTCGGAGCTGAGCGATTACTGTCCGTCGGTGACGTCGATGTCATCGCCGGCTCATCAGGGCATACGTGAGGGCTCATTCTTTCCGGGCTTTGAGGTGGCGGGAGTGATTGAGTCGCTGGGCTCCGAGATCACAGAGGCCAATAACTGTGGCCTGCGCATTGGACAGCGTGTTATTGTCTACCCATTCGATGAGACTCCTGCCGGCTATGCAGAACTCCTGGTGGTGCCCGATCTGAAGTACATTGTCCCGATACCGGATAGTTTGCCCATGGAGGAGGCAGCGATGCTGCCGACAGGTGCATTGCTGGCCATGCACGCTGTATTCAAAGCACAAGCCGTTGTCACGGAAATCCTGAATCAACGTGCCGAAACGGATCCCAATAAGAAGTGCAAGATCTTGATTGTTGGCACTGGTGGCTTGGCCCTGTGGGCAGTACGCATTGCAACCTATCATTTCGCATCAACTGGTGCACACAACGTGGACATCACAGTAGCCAGTCTGAGGGACGAGGGTTTCCGTCTAGCTACAGAGATCAAGAAGTGAGTATATATAAACAATTCCAGTCAAGAATCTAAACTAATTAAATCATTTTCTTATCTGCAGTGTCAGCGTGGTGCAATGGAACGAGTGTCTGTACGAGCCACAGCTGATTGAGCGCACCAAGGATGTGTGCGGCGGTCCTGTGGACGTGGTCATTGATTTTGGCACAACTTCCAGAAGTCTGCATCGCTCCATGCACTGCCTGTCCAAGGGCGGTGTTGTGCTCATCAGCGAGGAGGTGGCTGAAAAGCTGTTACCAAAGTTCTCTAGATTATCGAATGAGTATCAGCAGGAGATAATACCAATATCGAATGGCACCGTAGAGCAGCTTGCTGAGCTGGTGGAGCTTGTGGCTAGCAGAAAGATCGAGCCGCCACCATATTCCGTATTCCCATGCGAGCAGGCCGCCGAGGTTATACAGAAACTGATCAATTCCGAAATACCCGGACGCGCCATTCTACGCTTCCACGATATTGAATAGATCCTTAAAGTCTATCAAAGCATTAACTCATCTTAACTTAAATGAATATCTCTGTTAGTTTTACTCACAAACACACACAACCACTCGCCCACTCACACACAGACACAAAACATTTGCCGTAAATTAGCGCAGCAAAACACACCTTTACAATATGTGCTTAATATTCGTAGCAAGTATTCAGTTTTTGTAATAGTTATTTGGATCAGTTTTCAATTGTTTCGAAAACAACCAGTGATTTTTCATTAATTTTTTTATACATTTTTATTTATTAAGCATTGTTTAGTATTATATTTTGTATGTATATATGGATTGTGATTGATTTTAATTTAAGCAACAACAATTAACGACTTGATTTGCATTCAAATTTTGTAGTTGACGTCGTTTTATGCTTCAATGTTTTATTTAATTGGACTTTACAAATCACATGCCATTTAAATAGAAGCGAAGTAACAAAAAGAGTTCAGAATAAATGTTATATAAAATATAAAAAAAAAAAAAAAATACAAAAAAAAGTGAAAATTGTTATGCATGCAATGCAAAAATGTTTGATTCGATTTGCTTAATATTTGTACTCATTACGTACCCAAGAAAAAATTGACATTATATTCAACTACCATTAACCATAAATAAAAGCGTACGCATACCAATATACCAATCTACAAGCCTCTCTTCCGCTACTCTCAATTAACAAGACGTATTCTTCTTGCCATGCTTAATCTTTAAATGTTGATACAGTCCAGAGTGCTGATTAAATTTAGCATCACACTGTGAGCATTTGTAGTTTCTCCCTTGCTGATGACGTAGCTTGTGGCGGGTCAGTTCTTGAGAGCGCCGGAACGTCATATAGCATATGTTACAGACAAAGTCTCGCTGCTCTGAGTGGGAACGCATATGGTCGTTTAAGTGGGTTAATCGAGCATAGTTCTTGGGGCACTTGCTACATAGGTATGGTCGTAATTTATCGTGTGACGCGCGTAAATGACTCTGAAGCTGAAAGTGCTCTTTGTATATTTTTCCACATATATGACACATTGAACCCTCTTTTTTAGCTTTCCGCTTGCCAGACTTTTGCTCTTTTTGTGCTTCGATAGGGTTTAGAATCGAGTCACCTATGGTACTTTCCAGACTTAATCCAAAATAATACTCTTGTAATATCTCATCTTCCTCCAATTTAAATTCCGTCTTTAATTGTAAGAATAATCATTGCAATCATTTAAAAACTATGTATATTTCTTTTCGTTTATTACCTCAGTGTTGTAAAGTTGCAAAGACAAATCTTTTTGTACGTTAAAATTTTGTCTTAAGGCTGGCTTAAGAAGTTCTTCTTCTTCAAACGAATGTATGCGCGCCAAATGTTTTTGAAAATTGGTTGTGGTGTAAAATAAGCTGTCGCACATAAAGCATTTTATGGCTAATTCCTTGTAGGGCTCTTTTGATAAAAAGAAACCACAAGTCCACAAATCCTCCATTGTCACCTCCTCCTTAGCTCCTTCAGGATGATTCATTAATTATTCAGTGTTGAGGGAGTTAGTTACCAGGGCTGCATACTTTACAACAAGTTCATCGATACATCGTGCTCAAAGTATCGATCGTTCAAGCAGAATTTGTTTTTGCGCCAAAACGAATGTGCTGCGCGGCAAACTGCTGATTTTATTGTTGTAGAAAAAAGACAAAAGTAGAGCGCAACCCATTTTTTGAATAGCTGACAACGAATAATTGCTTGACTACATACACAAATCGTGATGGTTAATAACGAAAATGCAAACATCGCTGCTCAGCAGGTCATTTGGATCGGCAGCCACGAACAGAACACATTTATAAAAAGTCTGGAGCACAAGAATGTATATTTTTACAAAAAGTGCGTCTACGGTCCATTAACATTATCAGTGGGTGACTATATACTGGTGGCCAATGCAGATTCAGCCGAGCCCGACACAGTAGACGGCTGCGACATCGCTAAGATCTTACATCTGTACGAGCTGCGGGAAATGACAGACAAAGAATCCTGTCGAGCTATAGTACAGTGGTACTCCCGCCCGCAGTGCATACCGCATAGGTTCTTCGATGTGGACAATTTGGACATAGACTTTGGAGTTGAGATTATTGAGGAGCATCGCTATTACGACAACGACGTGGCTTTGGGCTGCATACTGCGCAAGTGTCTCGTACTGGAAGGAACCTCCGATCAGTCTGCTCAGCAGATTATTAGTAAATATAAGATCCCACGCAACTGTCCCATGTTTGTGTCTCGCTATAAGTTTCTAAAGGTAAAGAACACTTATCGCCTTATACCGCTTGAAATTCAGCTCGATGGAACGGAGTCGGCGCGCAGCAGGCGCTCGGTCCGAGAACCCACCTCCGCTTCAGCACGCAAATCCGTTTCACGAAGACGTGTCTCCACAGCTGCCGAGAGCCAAACACCTGTCGAGTTCGTCGATGTCAACTATTACAATTGTGAGAACAAAGTGTCGCCCATTAAAATTGTGGGCGGCCGCAGTGTGGTGCGTCTGTCGGAAAAGAAGAAGAACAAAGCAACGGAGGCAGCAGAGTCGGAAATCAATGCCAACTATTTAATGGCCTCTCCATTGACTGAAAAAAATCAAAAAGTTATGACACCCAAATCACGAGCCTCGGCAGCACGTCGCAACTTGAACTTGAGCCTGGACAAAGGAGCAGACACCACAGCTGATTCGGACTGCTTGAACTATTCGATTGTACAGCAAACGCCAGATCCCAAGACTCCTTCAAATGATATGAAGATCAAGCTGCGCGTCTCCGAGCGTAGAAAATCAGTGCGTCTCGAATCGCTGGATGATGGTTGTGATCCTCTAGATGTCGCCCAAGATACGCCGAACAGCAAGCAGCGAAGGAAGCGACTGGGTGTCACCAACGGAGATATTTATCATACGCCCACTAAGAAGTCCAAGGAGCTGCTGGAGCCTGTAGGCACGGACGTAACGCCCTCCACGCGTCGTAAAAGTATTCTGAAATCCGCAACGACACGCTTGGGTAAGTAGCTATCCACCTAACGTAATACTTATACTAACGTTATCTCTTCTTTGCAGCCGAGGGCACGCCTAGGCGCAGCATTCAGCTGTCCAACATTGTGGAGCAGCGCATATTCAATGACAACGAGATTATTTCTACGCCCAAACGCAGTCGGTCAAAGCTCGCAGACGAAGTTGTCGATGCAGATTACACACCAAAAAAGTCTAGCCAAAAAACGCCCACGCGTCCTCGAAGATCGAGCACCACCAAACAGCCCTCGGCCACAAAGCTGAAAGAGCAAGCTCCCTTGACTCCTTCGCAGAAGTTAAAAAAGATACGCTCAGGCGAGTTGAGCCCCAGCATGGAGCAGCGGGAACAGCCCGTGGATGAGCGTCGCAAGTCGCAGTTGCAGCTGGCACGCGAGCAGCTCCACGTGTCGGTGGTGCCCAAGAGTTTGCCATGCCGTGAGAAAGAGTTCGACAACATCTACAGCTTTCTTGAAGGCAAGATTCAGGATCAGTGTGGTGGCTGTATGTACGTCTCTGGTGTGCCAGGCACAGGCAAGACGGCTACTGTCACTGGTGTCATTCGAACACTGCAGCGGCTGGTTGAGAAGGATGAGCTGCCCGCCTTTGACTTTTTGGAGATCAATGGCATGCGCCTGACTGAGCCACGGCAGGCGTACGTGCAGATCTACAAGCAGTTGACGGGAAAAACCGTTTCATGGGAGCATGCACACACGTTGCTAGAGAAGCGATTCACTACGCCTGCGCCGCGTCGCGTGACCACTGTGCTGCTGGTGGATGAGCTAGACATACTGTGTAATCGGCGGCAGGATGTCGTCTACAATCTACTTGACTGGCCAACCAAATCGGCGGCGCGACTGGTCGTGGTCACCATCGCCAATACAATGGATCTGCCCGAGCGTTTGCTAATGGGTAAGCAGACACAAACTTTTCATATCCCTCTAAGCAGTAACTAATCTCTGTATAATACTTTAGGCAAGGTTACGTCGCGTCTGGGTCTCACACGTCTCACCTTCCAGCCATATACGCACAAACAGCTGCAGGAGATTGTGACAGCGCGTCTGGCCGGCTCTGAGGCTTTCAAGGGCGAGGCAGTGCAGCTGGTGGCCCGCAAGGTAGCCGCCGTCTCTGGAGACGCACGGCGGGCCCTGGACATTTGCCGGCGTGCAACGGAAATCGCTGACACAGCTGACGCACAGCCGGGTGGAATGAAGTGTGTGACGATGCTGCATGTGCAGCAGGCGCTGGCCGAGATGATAGCCAGTGCCAAGGTGCAGGCCATCAAAAACTGTTCGCGTCTGGAGCAAATCTTTCTGCAGGCCGTTGCAGCTGAGGTCACACGCACCGGCGTTGAGGAGACAACATTTATGGGCGTTTACACACAGATCGAGACGATAGCAGCGTTTATGGGCGTGGCACTGCCAGCGCCAGGACGTGCACTGCATCTATGCTCAAAGCTAGGCGCCGAGCGCTTAATAATCTCAGAGCACTCGCGTCACGATTTATACCAAAAGATTTTGCTGAACGTCAGCGCCGACGATATACACTACGCGTTGCGTGTGGAGAGCAATTAGGACTAGATTTTAAAGCTTCTAAATTATTATTTTAATTAAGCGTCATGTTTAAAAAATTTAAAGTACAAACTCGTTGATAGGAATACCAAATAGAATACCAATACAGTATAACAGTCGTACAGCACTTTGGGTGAAAAGACGGAATAGATAAATAGATGATAGCGGAAAACTAGCATCAGGCAGAGGTAAAAAGCAACTGGTAACAATACGAGCGCCGCATACATTGGCATCACCAGCGTATCGATTGCCCTCGAATACGGCGGCTGGAGTTGAATGATACCAACGCTACGGAGATCCGTGCGCAGGGTATGTACTATCAGGTAGAGGAAGGAATGTATTTCGGCGCTGTAGGTGTTCAGCGTGACAAAGAAGGCGACAATGCCAGGGTTATAGCTGGTCTGGCCCATGTAGCCGGGATTCAGATCAATGGTCGACAGGCTGTTCGAGTTGCCCTGATAGAAGTAGAACATTCTGGCTATCACAAGGGTCAAGATTATTTTGTACACATGCACTACGCGCACGGAGAACTTCCGCGCCGTGGAGCCGTAAGCGTCGCATAGCTTGTATGTCTCGTCCAGTGTGATGAGCATCGTGGGCAGCAACACAACATTTTGCACCTTATACAGCAATGCGACTAGGATCAGTGAGCACGTCATATTTGTTTGGAGCAGCTTCAGCAGATTGCTTTTGGGCCGCTCATCCAGCAAGTTTTTTCCCGTGCTCTGTTGCGGTAAGACCGTACGATAGCCAAGCACAAAGACGAGAGCCACGCAGCACCAGAAGAGCACCAGCACGGGCAGAAGAATGCGGCCTCTGCAGTAGAGTGAAGATTAATATGCTATCAATTGCATTATATCCATAACTTACACCATATAGGAAGGCAGCTCCACGAACTTCACCTGACCATTCAGGCCACGGAAACAGTAGACTAGCACGAAGGCGACGCCGTTGAATACCGTCTGAGGCGTATTCGTGAACTTGCGCAGGCGTGCCCAAAACATTAATAGCGAGAACAACATCAGTGTGCTCTTGATGGCCGATAATCTGTGTAGATAGCGCATCAGCACGAGCAGCAGGAGCACCACAAAGATCTTGCGCTGCTGCCAAAGACATGCTGAGGCAATTTTGTACAAATGTCGTCCATCCAGCTCCACATTCGCTTTGGTAATGCGGCGACGCAGCGTCTTGAATGCAGTCAGCAGAAGCAGCGTGTTTCCCAGATAATACCAGGTCTTGTACTCATATTCAATGAACGAGGACGAGCCTAGTGTACCCATGCGTATAGCGAAGCATAATAGCAAAGGGATCGGCAAAGGAATCGATAGTTTCAAGCGACGAGCATAAAGCGGCGGCAAGGCAATTTTGGTTAGAGCCTGGATTACATCAATGCTCAGATAAATGGAGGCGACAATTGGCACAAGCAAGAGTAAGCTATTTAGCATGGAGCTGGTCAATACTATATCCAGCAGATGGCAGGCTACATTCAGAAGAGCTCCAATTACCAGAGAGAGCAGCAGCTGAGCCGCTTTAAAGTTCTGCAAACGCAATTTCTCCGAGGCAATGTCCAGAAACAAAACACTCAGTAAAAGGTGCAAGGTGCTCTAAAGAGGAGGGGAAACAGTTAAATAAAATATGCAGTTTGAATAGGATTATTCGTCAATACATACGGCTGTTGTCAGTGTCAGTCCCACGGCTATAAATCCGTAATCAAATTTCACTAACGACTCTGACAGCTGGGCGGAAATCTCACGGGCCACGCGCAAATAGTTAAGCTTCGCATTTTGATAGTGCACATTGCTAGCTCCGCTGCCGTCTCCGGCCCGGAGCGGCTTCAGCAGCTGTTTATGGAGCAACGTGGCATTTTGATACCAATGATAGTAGTCTACAAATCAGTATAATTAGCTGCTGGTTGACAATCGTTCATTACTAACCCTACCACTGCGCCGGACACTCTCATAGCCAAATTTAACGCGTGCCTTATTCAGCAGATGATGGGCATTGTAGAAATAGGCGTACATTTGGTCCTCCAGCGTTAATGACTGCAGCATCTCTGGTATCAAACAGCCAATAGACATGCTTGGTATTTCCACAGATAATAGCACTGCCAACGTTGGCGTCAAATCGATTTGATTATAGCGCTTGGTGCTAGAACTAAGATATATATATAATTAGAATATCATACTCTCCAATAAGATGTTTGCTTATTTACGAATATTTGCTGCAGTTCTTGCTATACAAATAGAGTGGGACTGTGGTTTCAGCGGGCGTATTTCCGCCATGGCCACCGCCATCAGCCATGCCATGATCACCGGTCAGCATCAGCAAATAGTTATCCATATTCTATAAATAGACCGTGCAAATATTTCAAATAATTTAATTTGTAGCCAAATACGTGCTTATGCTATCTATATGCTCAACGCACATCGAGTTTGTTAAATCTCTTCTTATTCTTCTAAGCAGTTTTTTCTCTCAGAATTTTCTCCATGAATTTCTTCTAAGAGTTTACTCCAAGTCTTTTATGCTTAGCTGAACGAGTACACACTTTACTGAATCTTACGGCACTGCACGACTGACCCTGAAGCCTGGGCGACTGTAGAAATGCTGTAGCTGCTGCTCTTTATATAGGGCATCATTCACTCAAAACCTCAGTCGCTCTCAAATGTTGAGCCCGGTGCCAGATCGTTGCAGTCGAGTTTTAAGTGACCAATAGGAGCACTCTCTGCTGCTTCAACAATGACCAATGGGAACACTCTCTGCTGCTTCAAGCAGTCTAGCTTCCTTTTACTTACATATAAATAGTAAATGCATACATATAGACAACTTAAGTGATCTTCTGTAGTTCTTCTTCATCTCTTGATTTTCTTAGGCAGAGGTAGACAAGGAGACAGACAGAGAGACACATATACAGACAGACATTCAAACAGATATATAGGCAATTGGAATACACGCATAGTTAAATCGGACTACCTCATTACGCTGCTCATATATTAATATTAATAAGCTAAATAGCTTATGTAAATTAATATTTATAATTATTTGACAGCAATTTCTTCTGTTCTATAGTTCTCGGAAGGACTAGGACTTCAGCATAGTCTGCCTATATTAAAACTTGCCTTATGATCCAATATCTTTTTCACCGCATCATCCATTTCCCTGAGTTTAGTTTCAATCCTTGGACTGTCATTGCCCTCAACATGACCAATGTGATCTAGGCCCAGATAGTGCAAGATCAATAGCTTCCAATCAGTTTTCTCAAGTTCCTCCGCCAGTGCACTTGTCACAGTTCGGTCGCCCTCATAGAAATCGTTCACGTAAAACGAATCATTGTTGGCAACCTGTCGTGTGAATTCACTTGGAAACAGTTGCACCCAAGTGTGATCGCCGATAAAGGAGACAACAGCTTGGCGTTGCTTTAGTCGATGCAGCAGCGAATCGTCCAACTGCTCTGTGTGACCTACATTAAGCGCAATGTCTATGAAATTGGACAATGTGCCGGTAGTGATGCTCTTTAGCCGAGGCATGGTCACAGTCGGTATGTCAACGTGCAGAGAGAGCTTAAGACACGCCCTCTCATTAACCGTTGGCATAGTGTGCTCAGTGGGGAAATCATCGCGGAGAGCATCTATTAAGAATAGTATGAAGGATTCGTAGCTAGCCGGCGGTGGATTCAGTCTGAAATTTATTATTGAAGTGAGCACATGTGGCAGTAAAAAAGCATGTACTGATATAACATATCAACTGATAATCAACTCACTTTTCATCATACAGTGTTGTCGGCCGGTGAATGGATATGAACGGTTCCTTTTCTGCCACGGAGTACGAAGCCGGAAAGAAGCCTATCAAAAAGAGCACAGCGCCGCCCAGAAACAGTGTTAGCATGTAGAATGTGTATGCAAGGCGACTTCTGTGTTCCTCCATTGCAATTTGTGTTGCTTAACCATTCCCAAGAGCCAGCTCCTGTACTGTAGCCTGACATGTAAACAAATACTGATGAACACAGTAGAGCTGCCAGATGTTCTGCTTCGTTGGCAGCTTTTATGAACCAATAACAATTAGTTCCACTCGGCAAATGAGTCTTAAGAAACTTGACTAGTGATTTATATTTTATATATAACCGATATCTACATTAATATTAACAATAAAGAACTGTGTGCATATTTATACAAATTGTTTTAGTAACATTTCATAAAAAGTAGTTTTAAAACAGCTGATTTGACTGAACTGATAAAACAATCTGGCAGCTCTGAAAGACAGCTGGCATTTGCATTTGTTGGATTTTTCATATTTTGTATTTCAAATTAAAATGGAAACATGCGGTGTTATTATAAGCAGAGTCGGAGAATTTGAGAATTTTCTTATGCGCTGCTCATATTGCACGATAGACATTGAGATTGAAAAATGGCAGGAATTTGTTCTCCACTTTCGGAATACACACGGCACGAAATCGACGGATAACTCAGAATATTTGCATATCGAAAATCTAGCTGTAAATGAAGATAGCGCTGAGGAAAAGCTAGTGAGCATATCTACTGAAGAGCAGCCTGTTGAAGAGACGAATGTATCCAGACCCTGTTCAACATTATCCGATGCTAGTTTCAGTGAAAATAGTTCAACAAAAAGTGAATCCACAGCATCTACGGAGGATGAAGATGTGGATATGTCTAGCTCAAATCCATCCACGGACAAGGTAAATATACTTATGGCTATTAAATATTTACTGATATGACTTTTGTTTCAGTTCAAACCATCATTTTTTCGACGAGATCCACGCACACTGAAGTTTATTGAGGCTTATAAGAGTCAGCCTTGCCTTTGGAATCCTGGCTGTAGTAAATACAAGGATCACATTGCATGTAAAGCCGCATACCAGCAGCTAATAATGGAGCTAGACGCTCAGATATCTGTTGTCTTCACAGAGCATTCTTTGAAGGCAGCGATAAAGAAGTTGCATATACAGTATAATATGGTTGAAAAGCGTGTTATGAACGGCAACCAAAAACCAAATTCCGTGGCCTTTAATCATTATACAAGCTGTAGCTTTCTGAAAGCAAGCCAAGATCAAATGCATGCCTTAAAAAGTTCAGTAATTCAGGTGGTATTCTCAAGCTTGCTTTACTTTATGCTTTGAATGGCTTATTAAAACTCTTTTGCTTTCAGTTGAACTTTTGTAAGCGCAACAAGCTCACCACAGATTTTATACAGCTGTATGCCAACTTTCCCCAGCTTTACGACTGCAAGCATAAGGATTTCTCAAGCATAAGTTCTCGTAAGCAGGCCTATGAAGCAATAGCAGCTAAGATTATAGTGCCACATGGTGGCATTAACTGCGATGATGTCTACCTCGCCATACAGTGCCTTCGTCAGTGGTACTACAAGAGTACGAAACATGCAATTAAAACGACTAACGAGTCGGAACTCTCTTATTTGAAAGCCTGTGCCTTTTTGCCACCTAAGATGTTCAAGCAAAAGCTAATTTGTGAATACTGCCAGCAGGAAACTTCTTCGGATCATGTGCTTCAAGCGCATTTGTGGAAGGTTCATAATATCGGTGAGCTACCCTTTAAATGTACATCGTGTGATCGAAGTTTCGTAGGACGCGCGGAACTATCGACGCACGTGCAACGCTTCCATATTGGAAAAACATACAAGTGCAACTATTGCGAGAGAACTTTCGCTGTTAACTCAGATCTACGCCTGCACATACGTACACACACTGGAAACAATATACTCTGTGAGCTATGCGGCAAGGCATTTAGATTGAGATCTCAACTGAAGCTGCATGTCACTGCTATTCATACAAAAATTCGAGCATTTAAGTGCACTATGTGCCCGAAGGATTTTCTTAAAAAGGTCGACCTATCGGACCACATCAAGAGCCACTTAAATATCCGGGATAAGATTTGCACAACATGTGGTAAAGGATTTACCAGCTGCCATTCACTAATTCGACATCGACAAATACACTCGGAGATTAAAAAGTTTGTCTGTAAACTTTGTGAAGCTAGATTTTCACAATTCGTCGGTCTCAACTCGCACATGAAACGTACGCATAATATTGTTCGATGTAAAGCCCAAAAATTAGCAGAGACTTTACCCCCTGAAACAACTAGTTAATTTACTATCTTGTTTTTAAAATAAACTTTAATACATACATGTAAAATATGTAAGATGACATTATTTGATTTAAATCGACTCAGAATGCTGTAGTCGAGACTGCTCGATCTCGGTCTCCCGAACCCTTCAAACCCTTGCTCACATAAGAAACAGCACATGCATAAATACAGGTACACTGTCTGTCTCTCTGTCTGTCTGCCAGAGAGGGATGAAGAAGAAATAGAAAAGATCATTTAAATTGTCTAAATGTATGCATTTACTATTTATCTGTCAGTAAAAGGAAGCTAGACTGCTTGCAGCAGCAGAGAGTGTTCCAAATGGTCATTGTTAAAGCAGCAGAGAGTGTTCCTATTGGTCACTTAAAACTCGAGTTCAACGATCCCTATCTGGCGCCGGGCTCAACATTTGAGAGCGACTGAGGTTTTGAGTGAATGTTGCCCTATATAAAGGGCAGCAGCTGCAGCATTTCTTCAGTCGCCTAGGCCTTGTCAGTCGTGCAGTGCAGTAAAGTGAAGTGAAGTGTGTGTTCGTTCAGCTAAGCCTAAAAACTTGGAGGAAATATTTAGAAGAAATATTTTTGCTTGTTATATACATATGTACATTTAACAATAAATTTATACCCTGATTTCCCATTTTCAATGATGAAATCAAAAAATGCGCCGTTATTATCGATATTCTTGGGAGTCGCATAAAATCTTAGCATTGCACAACACTAGTCCAAAAGCAGCTGTGTTAATCATATTCAACTTGACTTAAATACATATTTCTGTGTTTGACTTTCTACAACCGTTAAAATGGAAATATGCGGTAGCATATTAACAAATAGCAACTACACAATATTCCAGTTAAAGTGCATGTATTGCCCAATCGAAAGCAACCTGCAAGATTGGCCTCAGTTTGTTCGGCATACACGCCAAGCTCATCCTTTCGATGATGCCGATGGTTCACTGAGCGACCAATGTGAAAATGAAGTCGAATGCCCTAAGGTAGAGCCCGACGAGCCTTACGAAGTCAGTATGGATATAAAAGAGGAAAATCACACATGGCATCAGGATGATGAAGAATTTTATGTAAGCAATGTACACGTACTAATATTTTCTGATTTATACGTATTACAATTTATCTCTTGCACAGTTTACTGACGACGCCTTGAAGCAAGAGGTGGACCCACAGTCACTTATAGAAAATGATTCTCATATGTCTCCTACTCATGCTAATGGTGTAGAATCCAATGAAGAGAGCAGATACATCGATGAGAAGGAATATGAAAGTCAAGAAATGGATTATATGCAAGTAAATAAATTCAAGATAACTTATAATGCAGCAACAACCTAATCTAAAGTATAACATAGAAAGTCGAGGAGGACACATCAGATTATAGCGACAACTATATTGACGATGAAGATATCGAAGACGATTACACGGACTCTGATGATGAACCAGACGCAGAGAAGCCCAAAAGCAGGAGAACCAATCCCATGGCTCTAAAACGCAAGGTATATACAAATACAATAGAATATAAATATGCAGATAATTGTAATTAGATATCACGCATTGCAGTTGAAAATATCATTTACGCGGCAAAACCTGCGCGTGCTGCATTTCATCGATGAACTCAAGAAACATCCATGCTTGTGGAACCCGAATGATAAATTTTTCAAGACTAAAATGGCTGAAAATGAAGCTTATACTGAGATAATTGCAGGAATGGATAAGAAAGTGAATGTGCTATTCACTGAATCTGAATTAAAGAAATCGCTAAAGCAATTGTTTAAGGAATATACAATGGCAACGCAAAAGGCGTCCGAAGGCCAACTGACCGAAGTTGCTGCCCGTTACCTACGCAAATGTAAATTTCTCTCAATCAAAGATTATTCTGGGGAAAGTGATGTCGACGACGAATCCAAATCAGACGTAATACAAGTGAGTGTGAAATGGAAACTCTCTTATAATTATCTAATCTACTGTGTAATATATTTTAGCTAAACTTCAAGGAGATTAATCATATGACAACGACCTTTATCGAGACTTATGCCAGTTTTCCAGTGCTATATGACAGTTCCGTGCCAACCTTTAAGTCACTGGATGCACGAACTCAGGCATACATTGAGATAGCTCAAATGTTGGCGCCAGAGATACACGTGAATGAAACTGAAGTTTATATGGCCATAATGCGTCTGCGTAAATGGACAAATATGACTTTGCGGCGGGTGAAGTCAAAGGAATTGCGGCGCGCTTGTACAAAATCGGAACTGCATTATCTGCAATTGTGCAGCTTTCTTCCACCCAAATCGGAAAGCTTCGTCATTACCTGTGAATTGTGCAATAAGCGGTTCTTCCTTGATTACAGTCTACGTGCCCATATGGTCAAGGTGCACGACGTGGGTGAGCTGCCCTTTTTATGCTCGCAGTGTCCGCGTCGCTTCGACAAAGCGCATGATATGGAGCGACACAAGCTGCGGCAGCACTGTGAAAAGTTGCTCAAGTGCGAATATTGTGATAGCACGTTTTCAATGAAAACTGATCTTACAGTCCACACTCGTGTCCATACGGGGGAAAAGCCATTTGTGTGCGAGCTGTGCGGTAAATCCTTTAGACTGAAACTGTTGCTCGACTATCATATTAACGGTTTTCATTTGAATCTGCGTCCATTTGAATGCGATATATGTAAAAATACGTATCGTAAGAGAGTCCAGTTGAAAAACCACATGAAAGGACATTTGAATATTAAGGATAAGAAATGTGAAAAATGTGGGGCCGCGTTCTCCTGTCCAACCAGCCTGTCTCGGCACCGCAGGACTTGCTGTGGTGTTAAAAGATTAAAAAATTAACATTAATTTAAATTCTTCATATGCATATTAATTATTATATGTTGTTAATTTATTACTAAATAAAAAACGAATATTATTGTCTATAAAGGATTTTATTTTTAGTTTTGTGTAACACTGGTCCGCAGCTGATAATGTTATCGATAACAATTTACTTTTTATAAGATCTGCAGCCGGCACAAATAATTGTTTATGCGCGAAAAATGCACAGTAAATAATAAAAAACATGGATACGCAAATTTTAGATGCCGTAAATGACTTTCTGGTAAGAACAAATTAAATGCTATTCATCTTTAACTAATATGCTTACTAATTCCCACAGAAAGTGGACTCCTTAGATGAGGCGTTTGTGAGCGTCATTGTGTTCAAGTCGGAGGATGATAAAGCTACCAATTTTACAAATAATTTGAGTAAGTAGGATTTTAAGATGTTGAAGCCTGTATCGAATGTGTATTTATTACAGTTACCGCATTCGGCAATGTTGAGAACCGAGAACAGGTGCTGCGCGCGTATTTGCTTCGCGCGGCGGAAGCACCAAGCTACCACATGCAGGTGCTGATGGCGGCTCTGCCCAAATTGGTGGATGCACATCACATTACAGCAAGGTGGGTTAGCTTAAGTCAGTTTTTAAAACAATATTAAATAAACTGCCTTCGTAGAATGCTCTGCGACAAGGTACTGTCCTGTGAGAAACTTGATTATGAGCGGAAGACCTTTTGGATAGAGAGTTTTCGGCTAATCAAGAAAGTTATTTCACATGTCGACTACAAAGGCGTTCGAGAGATCATGAAGGCCTGCAGAGAGAAGGCCCAATGGTTCCCACTGAATGTCAACGTCACCTATCTACCTCAATTGCTTGCTGTCGAGGAGATAATTCGGTTCATATTCGATCGTAACAATTGCTTGCTGCCCGCTTACTTCATAGCTAATGAAATAATGCGTCCATTTCCCTACCACTGGAAACTAAACAAACTGATGACTGATTTTGTTGAAGAGTTTCGTGCGACAGCTCAAATGGTATCGATCATTGGACATGCAAATATGCTGCCCATTGTCGAACATTTTGGTTATGCAGACCACTTGATGAACTCGTGGCGACTGGATCACAACTCTTTAAAGTTCAACTTTAAGGGCAGTTTGCCGTATGAGCCTGAACTGCTGGAGGATCAAACGCCTCTATTGCGCTACGTTCTAGAGCAGCCCTATTCGCGCGAAATGGTTTCAGTCATGTTGAATTTGCAGAAGCATCAGAAGCAGCGTTACAATGCGCTCGAGGAACAATTGGTCAATCTAATAATACATGCCATGGAAATGACGGAAACGAATGATGCCACTGCAGGCAGTGGCTTCAATGCAACTGACGAACAGATCTCGCATAACGAATGGGTGTGGCTACATCTCTCCTCGCAGCTGATTTACTTTGTGCTCTTTCAGTTTGTCAGCTTTATGCACATTGTGCTGGCTCTGCACGAAAAGGTAAGAGATGCGATCTTGAGCAGTAATTCAAAATTTATATATTCTTTTACTTTATTTAGCTATCCAAGCTGGAGCTGCGCAAGGGTCGCGATCAGCTGATGTGGATACTGTTGCAGTTCATCTCAGGCAGTATACAAAAGAATCCCGTGAGTAGCTAAAATATGCTTTCAATATTATTTCCTTATTTATAAATTTCTTTCTTACAGATCACAAACTTTTTACCTGTCTTTAGACTTTTTGATCTACTTTATCCGGAGCAGGAGCCTCTTAAACTGCCTGACTACAACAAGTCTTCACTGGTGCGCCACATGGCGCCCATTTGCATCTGGATACATTTAATGAAAAAGGCGCGAGTGGAGAATATGAACATCACACGGCCTTTGCCGATTGCGCTTAAGAATCATCATGAGTGAGTTTGTGTGTCTCTCTATTTAGCTATTTTTGTTTAAATAAAATCCTTTTGTAGCTTCCTTCAGCATCTGGTTGCGCCAAATAATATGATGAATGTCACATTAGGCAATGATTTTCGTATTATACTCATCTGCAATGCATACTCAACGAATCAGGATTACTTTGCGCGACACATGAATGTTCTGCTGGACGCCATGAATGGCAATGCAAAGTCAGCAAATGGCACTCCAATACCAGCAGTCACTTATTCCGTCTCGGTGCTCGACAGTCTGACGGTGCACAGCAAAATGTCACTAATTCACAGCTTTGTCACGCAAATGCTGAAACAGGCCCAGAGCAAGACACTGGTGCCAGCGCCTGCACTCATTGAAACTTATGCTAGATTGCTGGTTTACACTGAGATTGAGTCGCTGGGCATTAAGGGATTTCTAAGTAAGTTGGTTAGGAGCTATAAKTATTTAAGGATTACTATAATATATATTTTATATTTTTCTATTCCCATAGCTCAATTGCTGCCAACTGTATTCAAGAATCATGCCTGGGCCATGCTACACACGTTAATGGAAATGTTCTCTTATCGACTGCATCATGTGCCCACACATTATCGCGTGCAATTGCTCTCATTGCTCTATTCGCTCTCCTCCGTGCCACAGACCAATAAGATGCAATTGAATCTATGGTAAGTCTGCAAATATCAAATTATCTTTCTGTTATACTAATTTTATTTTGCGTAGCTTTGAATCGACCGCATTGCGTTTGATTACCAGCATTGGTTCCGCCGAGTTTCAGTCGCAGTTCTCTCGGTATTTGAATGACAAGTCACCTGGAAGCGTGGCATCTAATGAAAGCGAGGAACTTAATCGTGTCCTCATCTTGACGCTGGCACGCTCCATGCACGTTCATGGCGGCGGTGATGAATTGGCCGGCTGGTGCAAGGATTTTCTATCCAACATAATGCAGCACACGCCTCATTCATGGCCCGTGCAATCGCTAGCATGCTTCCCGCACGCACTGAACGAGTATTTCCTACAAAACAATCATCCGGTTGAGAATAAGCAACAGCTGAAAAAGTCTGTGGAGGAGGAGTATCGTAATTGGACATCCATGTCCAATGAGAACGACATTATTGCTCACTTCATCAGGCCCAATACAAATCCATTGTTTTTGTGTCTGCTTTTTAAGATCATCTGGGAAACGGAGAGCATCAGTCCCGTGGCATACAAGTAATCCGCTATTAATTTAGTTCCCTCTCAACATTTTTTTAATGCTTTACTCTTTATATTATAAGAATTCTGGAGGGCATCAGCGCTCGGGCCTTGTCCACTCATCTGCGCAAGTTCTGCGATTATTTGGTTGCCGAAGTGGCCAGCTCCTCGGATGGTCGCGACTTTATACACAAATGTGTGGATACCATTAATAATATGATCTGGAAATTTAATGTGGTGACCATAGATCGGCTTGTGCTCTGCCTGGCTCTGCGCACACACGAGGGCAACGAGGCGCAGGTCTGTTTAATCACAATTCAACTTCTGCTGTTAAAAGCGTCTGAGCTGCGCAATCGGGTTCAAGAGTTTTGCAAGGACAATAATCCTGATCATTGGAAGCAAAGCAATTGGTAAACTGATCTCTAACTAAATTGATCTGTAACCAAATTTAAATTCAACCTGAATTTCATTCTACTTTCTGCTGGCAGGCATGAGAAGCATCTGCAATTTCATCAAAACTATCCGGAAAAATTCGCACCGGATGAGAGTGCATCGCAAATTCCACTGCCCGTTTACTTCAGCAATGTGTGTCTACGTTTTCTGCCAGTGCTCGATGTGGTGGTACATCGCTTTATTGAGCTAACTATACCGAATGTGCATCAAATCCTAGGCATTATATTGGATCACTTGAGTATACTCTATAAATTTCATGGTAAGTCTCCAAGTTTCACTTCCTCTTTCTGAATTTGTTAACCTATATCTCTTGCTTGTAGATCGTCCCATTACTTATTTGTATAATACATTGCACTATTATGAACGTATTCTGCGCGATCGTCTGCCTCTCAAGAAGAAGCTGGTAAGCCGCCTTTTACAGCCCTGTCGAAATTTCCAATTCAATACATTTTGCCACATCAGGTTAGCGCTATTACAAGCGCGTTTAGCGAGATACGTCCAGCCAATTGGTGTGTGAGCGAGCCATATAAGGTATATTTGCAAAGTCAAGATCCACTATGGACGCCTGACCTGAGCTACTATATGAATCTCATCAGACGACTGGCAGACAGTGAGTAGAGCTCTGAAAGTACTCGAACCACACTCAACTGCTAATTAATCTGTCTACATGTATCCCACTCAGCTATCAGTGGCAAAAACGTCTTCTACACCACCGATTGGCGTTTCAATGAGTTTCCCAATGCACCCACTCATGCGCTCTATGTGACCTGTGTGGAGTTGCTTGGCCTGCCTCTGGCGCCTTCTGTGGTTGCGGGCAACATAATCGATGTGATTGTCAATGGCTATGCGGTGATACCGCAAAAAGAGATACACAGCTATATCAATGCAGTCGGCATTGTGTTGGCTGCTCTGCCGGAGCCATACTGGAGTGGCATTTACGATCGGCTGCAGGATATGCTAAACACGCCCAATATGCTCAACTGGACATATCGATTCAATGCCTTTGAGTTGTTCAACTTTAAGACTGTGCGTGAGGCCATGCTGGAGAAGAGCTATGCTGTGGTCTTGGCCGTGGCGCACGCAGTTTTCCATCATATGGGCGCCTTTAAGCTGGCAGCCATGACCCGATACATCAAGGAGAAGCTGAAGCCTTGTGTACGCACCGAACATCAGTTGCTTTATCTATGTCACGTCTTCGGGCCATTCCTGCAGCGTATCGAACAGGAGAAACCGAATGCAGTGGCTGGCATTGCTATATTCCTCTATGAAATGCTGGAAAATGTGGACAAACATCATGGACCCAAACCCCTGGAGTATATGGATCAGATCTGTGATTTCCTGTAAGCAATTGATCAGATGATAGAGAGTATATATGGTAATAGTTGTTATTTCTGTTTAGATATCACATTAAGTACATTCACGTTGGCAATATTATCAAAAACGAATCAGAGGCAATTATCAAGAAGTTGCGACCGCAGTTGCAAATGCGTTTGCGTTTCATAACTCATTTAAATCTGGAAGATATACATACAGAGAAAATGTAAGTTTTACATGCAAGTTACTTGTTTATTGGTTATTTATTATAATTTTCTAGCGCTGAGGCCAATGCAAATGCCAATGCAAATTCAACTCAGTCGCCTTTGCATACTGCACAGCAGCAGCAACAACAACAGCAGCAACAACAGCAGCAACAACAGCAGCAACCACAGCAGCAACAACAACAACAACCACAAGCACCACCAGTGAGTGCAGCAACCACCAGCTTGCCGCTGGGCAGCGGTGGCAATACTCAGCAGCAAATGTACTTACAGCACATGCAGCTTCAACAACAGCATATGCAAAATATGGGAATGCGTCACAACTAGATGAAGACAACAACAACTACAACAATAATTAGCCTTAGTTTAATTCTCTGTAATTCATAGTTTTAACTGCTGTCTAGAACTCTTAATGATCGCTCTCACACACTCTCAACTGTTGGCCAGAACTTGTCTCAGCTGAGCTTAGGGAGCAGGTTTGCCCGGTGGCTAACTCTGTCGGCGATTCAGTTGCAGTCGCACTGTTGCTCGCAATGCGCGCTTGGATTGGATTACTCTTAACGCTGTTTCTATGTTCTGTGCGCTGTGAAATGTGCGATCGAGGCACTGGCGTGTGCAAAGAGTTGACTGCTACGGATTGTCCAGTTATATTCTTTATACAGCATTTGATAGCCAACGAAATCAAGTACTGCAACGAGATAGACGAAATCGTGTGCTGTCCGCTGCCTCGGAATAATCAAAAGAAAGCTGTGGAGCCTGTGGAGGAGAATCGTCCCTATGAGAAGCGTAAGCATTACCAGTAACAGTTCTATATATATATTGTGATCTGATCTTCATCTAAATATTTCACAGAATGCAAACACTTTAATGATATCAGAGCAGCTTGTCACCAGTCGCCCTTTATCGTGGGCGGCACCAAGGCGGCTGGCCGGGAATTTCCTTTCATGGCTCTGATTGGGATCGCGAAGCGTGGCAAAAGCGAAATAAATTGGGATTGTGGTGGCACCTTGGTGCATCCGAGATTTGTGGTCACAGCTGGGCACTGCCTGGAAACTCCTGAGACCAAGGAGCAGCGCTTGGATCCCAATTTCGATTCGCCGAAATTTGTGGTTCGTCTGGGCGAACTGGACTACAACAGCACAGCAGATGATGCCCAGCCGCAAGACTTTAAGGTTGTCAACTACGTGGTGCATCCCGCCTATAATGACGATGACGACAACAAAGTGGAGAACGACATTGCTATAATCGAGCTGGACAGGAATGCGACTCTAAATGAGTACGTTGCACCCGCTTGCCTGCCGCCCAGCACGGGCAACGATCAGCAACAGCTGACAGCTGCCGGCTGGGGACTCACGGCAGATGCTGGCCATAAGTCTTCGCACCTGCTCAAGGTATCCCTCGAACGTTTCGATGATGATCTATGCGAAGAGCGTCTCGAAGTGGAAATCGAATCGCGCACCCAATTCTGTGCTGGCTCCATCAACGGCATCGGCGACACCTGCAACGGCGATTCGGGTGGACCCATTTTCGTGCAGCATCCGCGATACAGTTGTCTCAAGCTTCTAATTGGCATCACTTCCTATGGCGGCATCTGCGGCACCAGAGGTCGTCCATCAGTGTACACCAAGGTCTACCTCTATACAGATTGGATTGAGAGTATTGTGTGGGGTGAGTAAATTAGCTCTGCCAATTCATTTTAAGTATAAAATGCAGAGGAAATCATATTACGTTAAGTAAAGTAATTGATAAATTGTCTTAGAAAAATTATAACAAATCTGCTCGATTTTATAACTTTTAACTATTAAGAAATTCGCAACTTAAGTGTCAATATATATATGTATAATTAATTAATTGATTTAAGAAAAAAGTATTTGTAAATCCCCTATTGAGAGCTGAACTTGTCTTTATGGCAATGCATTTTTATACAGATCGAGTAAATAAATATTATATTATTATAAATATATCCCAATGGATCTACCCCGATCRACAATATATAAAATAACGTGAATAAACATGGGTTTTAAATGTAAGTATTAAAAAAATGTTTGTATTTGTCTCCAACTAGAATTCTAATTGGAATGCAGAGATTAACGCACAAAAGCTCTTCCGTATATTCTCTCTGAGAGCTTGACCGCTCAGCTAATTTGTGTAAGGTTTGGTGCTGCCAGACCGTCAAAAAAAGATCGTCAGTAATATAGCAAGCAGTCTCAATTGGAGAGCTCTAAAGCTCTGCTCGCTCTTGATAGGCAGTGTTGCCAGATTAGCTATTTAATAGCATTTTTAGCTATTTTTGAACCCTAAATGCTATGAAAATTTTGAAAATGCTATTAGCTATAAATTTAGCTATTTTACAAACGAATATTTTGAATTTGATTTTAGAATTTAAAGCAAAAAAAAAAAAAACATTTTTCGATTAAGTCCCAAATTGTACGTAATGATCTGCGCGATACTACCACCACGACTTTATCGTACTTATAACATCAGTTGTGAATTTACACCATCGCTAGTTCTTCTTGGCGCGCTTCTTGGCATTAATTGTATGTGATGGATAAAAAATATAAGCAGAAATTTCGTGATTCCTGGAAAACAATCACCGAATTTAAGAATTGGATTAAGGAGGATGAGTCGGACAACAGGCGGGCGTATTGTATATACTGCAAATGCAGTGTTTTTGCCAAATTGCACGATATTAAAATGCATGCCGCGACAAAAAAACATAAAACTGCGATTGGCGCCTTTGGCCAAAAAATTTAAACATTTTCCATGATTTCATTTAAACATGATTCCAGTTAATCAAAAATATAATTCTGATGATGATTTGGATTTGGACCAAATTGTAACATTATTAAATAACATTTAAAAATAAAATTTAAAGTAAATGCATAATGCATAAAGGTTTCTCAGCTATTTTGTAAGCTATTTTAAAATTWGTTTAGCTATTTTCAGCTATTTTTTAGAGACGATTTTGCTATTTTTATGTCTCAAAACCTGGCAACACTGTTGATAGGTCCAGCTCTCTCTATTTCTGACTCTGTGTGCAGGTGCATACAAGTTCGGCTTAAGCTGCGGTCGCCAGTTTGAATTTCGATCTGCTGCAGAACGGACGTGTGTGCTGCTCCAGAGTTGTAGTGTTTGTGTTGTAGTGTCTGTGCTTGCCCGCCCAATTGTGCAAGGCACGTACTGTAGCTTACCGCGCGCATAGAACGCGCCATTGCAATAAATCAAGCGAAAAGTATTTAATTATCAACAAAATGCACCAAAGCGAAATGTACATTCGATGCGCATTCGATATTTATTGATTAACACATCGCAGAAACAACAACAACATCAGCCAACGACCGAGTGTATGTGTGTGTGTTTTAGCTCGTCTCTATGTGTGTTCGTGTGGGTGCTGCGATCGACGATAGTTAGTGTGTGTTAGGGGTGTGCGCGGAGTACCGTTGCCTAGATCGTAACACTACGTTCAAAGTGCCGCGCGACTGCATTGTTTTGACTTTGATCGTGTGCTAAGACCTCCCTCCATCTCTTTCCCCCATCTCTCGCTGCAAGCGCGTGCGTGTCGTAACTTTTGATTAGCTTTTTTTATCCGACGCGTCTCGTCTTCAGCCAGCGACGCCGCGCCGACCAGGAGCTGCAGCTCACCCTTTGGAACATTGCGCTTCACATTGTTGCTGCTACTGCTACTGCTACCTWTTTTGTAGTTGTTATTTTCGTAACTTATCGCCGCCTACATCACATAATTTGCTGCAGCTGTTGCCGTTTCGAAGGTGAGCATCAAAAGGAATTCGCATTTGCCATTTATTGTTCTTTTGTTTTGTTTACTCGGCCTGGCGTGGCTTGGCACGGCCTGGCAGGAGCGCATGGGCATAAATTTATTTATATTTCTTTTCTCTGAAATACCCAACGAATTTTGCAATGGAACTATTAAACAATAAACTGAATAAGTGAAGGGATTTGGTCAGTCAGTGTACAGTGTACAGGTGATTTCCTGTTTCGCTCAAGCAAAACTTTAGGCTTGAACAATTAAGTATATTTTGTTTGTTTTAAATATGCGTGTGCTGGCCTTAAAGTGTATATAAAATATTAAATTTATTAATACTATTAAATGTTAGAAAGTAAATTTTAAAAATATATAGCATTTAATATTTACGTGATAAATTAAATAAGAGATTATTTAGTATTCGGTTTTTATTGAAAAAAAAAATTCATAAAATAAGAATATTTAAAAATGTTGATGACAAAATTTCTAGTATTTAAAAAATATAGTTTTGATTTTATTTATGTAAATATGAAATAATTCATCTATAGTTATTTCTTGCTCTTAATAATATGAACTTTAATTTAAATCCCATAATTAGAAAATTCTTATGAAAGTTCTTATGAAAACTTACAGCAAATATCTTCTTAAATATCTCTAGCGACTGCTCGATGTTAAATTTGATGAGCTGTGATTTGCAGAAGAGATTAGGGGACACACCTTAGCTTCATATCTGAGCAATATTTCAATTATGTGTGCTTTTTTTTTGTTTTTGCTTCTGCCAATTGTTTATTGGATATATTGGTTGACAGCTGGTTTTAGTAATTATTCAGCCTTCACAATTGCGTAACGAATGCTCATCCAATGTGGGCTGTGGATGCTGTCGCAGATGAGATCATTTCTAAAATCAAAGAGCAAAAACAATCAAATACAGCGGCAGCAGCAATTCCACGGCACAAAAGAATGGCCAAAAGGAAGACAGAGATAGGAAGGGAATGCGTGAGTGAGAGAGAGAGAGAGAGAGAGATAGAGATAAAGATTACAAAATTCTTGCCCGTTGCTTGTAAATCATTAATCACAAAGGAAATGCTGAGCGAAGCGGAGTTCGCCAAGTCCAAATGTTTTGCACTCTGAGTCAGAGACGATATTTTTAAATACTTTCATTAAATACAAATGAGACAAATGTCTGTTGTCTCTATCTCGTTCTTCCTCTCTGTCTCTCTCTCTCTCTCTCTCTCTCTTTAGCTGTTGTTTTAAAGAATCTGCGCGTAATTAATTGTGGGTTTTGTTCAACCGAACTCATCGCACTTTGTGGGTCTTTGATAAGCCGCCGAGAGCTACGATTTTGATTTTTATCTGGCCCATTTGACAGGCTCTTAGAATCGAATGACTGAAACTTCAAATTCAAACTCAAATTGAAATTCAACTCAAGCGAAAAGCTAACGCAGTTCGATTCGCCGATATCGCAAGTCATACACAACACGCCAGCAACAACAACAACACAAGTGACCTTGAGGGTAATAACTCTTTGGCGTTTGTTAGTCATGCCTGGAATGCAGCTGAACCGCATTGCCAATGCGCTTGCTGGCTAAGCCAGCTGCAAAAATGAAAGAAAAACAAATTCAAAAACAAAAGCAAAACCGGATGGCATCTGCATTTGCATCTAACAACCGAACCCCCGCACAGTGAGCACTAGAAGTATTTGTCTATGTCTATGTCTATGTCTATGTCTGTGTGGTCAAGAGATGTCTGGAAGCTTAGAGAGTTATAAAATTTTATTAACAAGCTGCTACAAAGAATTTCAATAAACGAAATGCCAATAAAATATTCATTTTTTTCTTTCAAGTCCAGCGAGAATAAAAGTGTATAAAAAATCAACAAAAAAGTGAGAATAAGGCAAGCGAAACCAGTCGACAGATTTGTCTAATGTGCGGGCGCCGAAACTGGTTAGAAATACAAAGTGTACTGTGAGCAAGGGAGAGAGAGAGAGAGAGCTGGAGAGGGAGGGGGCGAAAAACGCAGAGAGAGCGAGAACAAGAGCTAGTTAAGCAATTGGAGTGAGCGAGCTGGCAGACGTTGGCTCAATCAGAGTTAAAAAACCTTGGAGCGCATCTTGATTGAACAACAACAAGAACAACATCTACAACAACAACAATAACGACCAGAGATATCTGCTAAGCTCTGTAATATTCCATGAAAATAGTCATATATCATTGCTTTGTAATCAATGCGCAGCTGCTATTCTATGCAAATATCTAAAAATAAATATTGACTAAGTAGTTAGCATAGCACAGAGTTAAATTTAAACTTTAAATTGATGTTAAAGTTAGTGCATCATTATTTTTTATTATTGATTATGCTTAAAGTTCGTTGCCTAAGTCTTTTGATATGCGCCTAGGGGTCATGCACTGTCGAGCATGCGCATGTGTCGAAAGCTCTCAATCAAAAGCTGAGCACACATGTGAGTGTGTGTGTGAGCGTAAGAGTGTAGCACTAGGCTGAGATGACCTTATAAAGGTATACTTCCGCTATAAATGTATATATGTGCATATATGTATTACATTTTGATTTTTGTCTTTTGTTAATTTGAAGTACGCCAGTTGAGGTTGTCTAATCAGTGGATACTTAACTGCTGAATGACAATTTTTAATATAGAGCTATATATATGTATGTATATATGTATGTTTGTCCCTCAGTAAGCCTCTTGACCATCCCCCTTTGTCTCATTGCGAAAGCTGAGCTCTACAGCTTATCAAAATAACACTTATTTAACAACTTGGTGTTAAATTTTTGTATAAACCACGACAATTTATTGATAAATAAATACGTTTCTATAAATATACATACACATACACATATAGAGACAACACGCTTGTGCGCAGCGCTGCCCTCCTAATTAGTTAGACACAGCCTTGATTTGATACGTTTAAGTATTTTGTACGGCATGTGCAGAGGGCA